TTCATTCCACAATGATAGCAAGTTGTGAGAAGCCTAACTAACATTTCTTTTTGTAGACATCCAAGTATAAGATGATTTTGATTTAATATTTTTTGTGTTTTCTGTAATAATTGAAACTTTTAACTACCCTGTGTATGTATTTGTGGTGTGTGTGTGTGTGTGTAAAAGAGAGAATGCTTTGGACTGAAAAGCTTCATTAAAAAAATCCTTGCCTTCTATATTTATTTCCGTTTATGTATTTTTAAACTAATGATTCCAAATTATTACCTGGACTTGAATTTTACATCTTATCAAACCATAAACAAAGAAATGTTTCAATTATGCTACAGTTTTTCTTGTTTCATATGGGGTTTGATATGAAGGAAGTTTCTTAAAATGTAGTTATTGCATTGAGATACGACAGTGAAAGTTTATTTATTATTGTAAGAATGAGCTACAGTGATTTGGGATTTTTGTACCCACTTCCTACCTTCTTCTGTCCCAACAAGGTCACAAGGAGGAAATTGGAAGAAATAAATGATCTTTTTTTAAATAGAAAACATTATTCTAAATTTCTGGATAAAAATAATGTGGTCAAATGTAAGTTCTTTTGTATAGAAGAAAGAGGTAGACATTCAGATTCAGTGGATTGGCTATTTTTTCATTTATAGCATCTCTTTAGTTTGTTGTTGGGAGATGTTAATAAAACCTTCCGTTACAAAACTGATCGATAGCTCAACACAGCATCCTTTTCTTAATCTTGTATTTACTTTTTCTACTGAAATCATACATTGTGTAATAACAGTTGGGGCTTACTTTACAAGTAAATGATGTTAGACCAGAGAAGATGTGAATTCTCTCATTGGATGTGGAATGGTTCCTTTTAATGTCTATGGAGATTCTCAATCATCCAGGTCATGATTGTCCCAAAGGTACTTTTTTCCAAAAGGAAACTGGGCTTTTGGGGGGTTTTTCCTTTGAAAACATTTCGTTTTTCATCCAAGCATTGAAGAAGCTTTTTGGATGAGAAGTGAAAGGTTTTCAAAAGAAAAAAATCTAAGAAAGCCCAGTTGCCTTTTGGAAAAAAGCACCTTTGTGATTCCTTTTATTATATAACTAATTTTATGCTTTAAGGTTTCTTCCAAATCAGCTGAATTATATGAATTACATGAATTATATGAATTTTTATATGAATATTATATGAATTACTATTGTCCTGTTGGAGCTTCACTTTCTCAGTTGAAATATCTGTAGAGATTTTCCTTGTAGAAAGGAATGAAGGAATCTTTTTGCCTCTGTTTTAGGAATTGCTGTTTGAACTTTAGATTTAGAATCAGCTGTTCACTTTTTAAGCACAATTTCTAAATGAAACGATCTGGATTTAACCACCATTTTTGCCAGGTCCATTGCTTGTAATTCTTATCCTTATTGTTTTCTTTTCAAGCGTTTGCTTCATTTCTTCAATTTGTAAGAGGTTTGCAATATATTTATTGACTGATGTAGGTACATGCTATCAAGGCTGTTGTATTTCTCCCTTGACTTCCTAGAGTTGATGTTATCTTTTGTTCGCTGAGCAGTATGGTTATTTCTAAGAGCATCTGTCACTTGAAGCATCCTAAGATGGATGAGTCTGAAGTGAACTGCTGGTTGAACCAAATGGTGAAAAAAAGAAAAGACAAGGGGGCTGGAGGCTTTCAGAAGAGAGAAAAAACATTGTTAGAAGGAAAACACCAAGATGGGTCACTGATTGTCATAGTTGAACCCTAACCGTCATAATCAGCGCTGACTTTTGAAATCATGGCAACCCCATCCATTTTTAAAAGTTGCATTTTGTTATCCTTTGAACAGTATACAAAGAAAAAGAAGTATATGACGTTTTCTGTTGGTGTAACTAAAAATACTTAGTAATGTAGATAAAGCATGTTTTTCAAGGCTGTGATTGATGTGAGTAAATTATATTTACAAATCTTTCATTTTATGGTTCAAAAAATGCAGCATTTTGTATGGTTGTATTTCTTCTGAAAAATATTGTTTGTTGTATGCTGCTTTATTTCATTTGAAATTTTGTTGGATTATTCTATTAGAACTTATTTCTTCATTAAGAAATCAAAGGATTTAAATTTTAGCATTACTCCATTATTGCAGTTCAGAAAGTAGCTATGTGGTTTTTTCAATTTATTTGAATGCATTTGATGCATGTATCTGAATGGAGGCACAAAGCTATTTTTACTTTAATTTTAAAAAGATTGGCATTTGCTGCTAAGGACTAAATGGCAGAATGTGTCTTTTTCTTGCAAGAAGCTTCTCTGATTGTGCCTAGCCATTAGAACCAGGGGCTTAAAAATGATTTCATCAGTTTGCTTGCTTGCTGTGTTCAGCCATGAGGCGGGAATCAGGAGTGGAAAAGGCAAAGAAATTAAGATGATTAGAAGCTTTAAAGCTTTGTGAATGGTAGAGTAGCTCCCTCCTCAATGAATGTAAATAATAGATGAAAGACTGAGAATGACAACAAAGGCTCAGGGTACTTAAGAGAATGTGTGCAGCCTGAATGGAGGTCTGTGGCTCAGGGCCAAAGGTCTTAGCTTTGAGTGTAATTAGAAGACAATACAAAGATGTCATTACTAGCAGGTGAAATGTTCAGCACGTGGCTTCAAAAATAGCAGATTTAGCCTTTATGACTGTTGAAATTGGATTATGGACTTTTAATTATTATTTTTAAAAAACCCTTTGCAAGGTCTCCCTGCAGTTTGTTCTGAAACTATATAGCTTGACTTTGATCATCATCACTGTTGATTCTCCTAAAACCTAATACAATGGTGTGGATTAGAGTTGAAGAAACCTGCAAATCAGAAAGTGTTGATTTCCTAAGGATCTCCTGCAATATAGTGTTAGACATGTCTTCTGTTCATTGAGAGGCTAATTAATTTGTGTTAAATTCTTGGATGTTGTGGAAAGCAATCAGAGACTTTGTTCAGTGTAATATTGCACCACTGAAAATGCATTGAACCTAAGTCGCGCAGCTTGTTTATGAGGGCGTCACCATCACCACACCCCCACCCCACAAAAAATTGGATTAGCAGAACTGCCATTCAAGGTCATGTTTCAGTGCCAGCAGCTCCTTCCAAAAACAAAAGCTTCGTATAGAAGGAAATATTTCTGGACACCTTGAACTTTCAGTTCCCAATCAGAATAGGTTATGTGAAAGAATGGTAACATTATATGACCATTTAGCATTTGCAGATAAAAACAGTGGCATTTAGTGAACCACATGACAACCAATTATATGTAGCCTTATTAAAACTTGGATCTCCTCCACTCCTGCAACCACTCTTGTGTTCGATAAACTTCTCTGTTACTGAAACTGACAAAAAATGGTTTCCTCTTGTGGTTAGACCACTTACACAAGTTTTTTTTAAAGTAATCTCAGATTACAATGTAATTCATTTTCCCATTCTCCTCTGACTCCCCATATGCCAGGGATTCATCTTTTTAATTCAGCTGTTTTAGAATTGCAGCAATTATATATATGTTACAAACTATTCTAAAAATACGAGTTCCAGGTATATTAGTAAAAAAAGAAGCAGACATACTGCAAACTCCGGAACTTTAAGATTTTAAAATTTTAAAAGAATTAAAATTTTATTTTACTAAGCTTTCGTCAGCCATATATATATATGAAATAACACTATCCTTTTGATTTTATATTATCCAGTGTAAGTTATGGATAATGTTGCTTAATTAATCAATTGAATATTGATTAATGCAATTGAATATTGCAAATTTAAAATATTGATAGATTTCAATTTTTTTCCTCCACATATTAATAAGGTAAGTTGGTAACATAGAATATTAGAATTATCAGTACTTTTTTTAGAATCAAATATCTTATTATATTAATAGCATGTTTTGAAAAATATTTTAGAGAATATATACTTAATTTGCAATCTACGTATTACCATCATCTTCATTGGAGCCAATTATTGTTTAATACTTCCCTGAGTATATGACTAGCCTATGTAAATGATGTTTTTTTCAAAGTTTTTAAACTTTGAAATGAAATAGAAAAAAATGCTTTATTTCTAGATTTTTATTTGAGAGGGTTTTTTAGGACACATTAAAAAAAGAAGTAATCAAATGGTAGTCCCCTAATTACCCCAAACTGGCTAGAGACTATTCTATGGCGAACAAGTTGGTGTCGGTACATTTCCCTAAATTAAGAGGAATTTTGTCTGTCTGTCTGTCTGTCTCTGTCTCTGTCTCTGTCTCTGTCTCTGTCTCTGTCTCTGTCTGTCTGTCTCTCTCCCTCCCTCCCTCCCTCCCTCCCTCCCTCTCTCTCTATCAAATTTGTGTAGTGGCCATCTCACCAAAAGTGACTTTGAGTGGTACTGATAAAAACCACAGCTGAAATATTAAAAATATAAAAATAAGAAACAAATAGTATACAAAACAAGTCTCTCAGTGTGTGTGTAACATTCTCACTGTTTCCAATATGGTGAGAGAAAAATTGCAGAATTTTCTCTATTGTAGAACTGTAGTTGTTTGAGGAAGTTAAAATGCTATCCAGTACAGTTTGGTTAGGTTTTATGATCAGGTATTTTGACAGTATATGTATAGTAGCCTTAGATGTATTTAACAGTCCTATGGAGTTCCATGAGGATTACTTCAAAGCTCAAAACAATAATAAATAGTTAAGAACAAAATAGTACAGCTACTTTGGTGTAGTAGTTAGGATGCTGGCCTAGCAAACAAGAGACTGTAAGTTCTAGTCCCATTCCATCTTGTGCATGAAAGCCCTTTGGGTCCCATCTCTCTCTGCCAACCTATCTCAGATTTGTTGTTGTTGGGAAAATAGGAGGAGGAAAAGAATATTATGCATGTTTTACCATCTTGAATAATAAAGGCAAGATAAAAGCTAAATAAATAAATAAATACTGTTAAGAAGCTCTGTCTTTAAATATTTGCTGCTATATCAAGATTTAAATCAATCATCTACAATTTTAAATTATTTTATTATTTCACAGGTATCTAAAACAACAGCCTGAATCAAGTAGAAGCAGAATAACTATGAACAATCATCCATCATGAATATATTTAACGAAGGTTGAAAGACATAAAAGAAGGTAGCATTGTTTCCATATTTGTAATGCATTTATCATTGGTAACATTTTCAATGGCAGCAAGAGTACAAAAATAATTTGTGTCAATTTGATATAATTATGCTATTTTTATGAAGCTATTATATTTAAATGGTTAATTTCAATCTTTTAATTGAGTGCACTACCCCGCAGCTTTTATTTCATGTGCTCTACTACATGATCTACTACATGATCATCAAAACATCACCACTTAAGGCTTGGTCTGTGTTCACCCCAGAATGAAGGATATCTATAGAGTTCCAAAATTAAATAAAAATAAATTTCCATTTTAAAATATTTTTCAGTTGCTAAAATGTGGGGTCATCAAATCTTGCAAGATTTTGGCAAAATCTATTGACAATATCATGAAATTTTTGCCAGTGAAAAAAATGGAAAGAACTATGTGTTCACAGAGAAAACACTTGTAAATACCCTTACTAATTGCCTGTTGGTGCTAGAATATATTTTATGTACCATTGTCATAAAATGAACAAATCTTGAAAATTGTGTTAATGTGTGTTTCTATGAAATCATGTAACATTAAGATTATATTACAATTACTAAAATTTATGAAAAAATATGTACTATTAAACTATTAAAAGAGTTCTACAAGTTAGTATATAAGTACTCGATTTATGACCACAATTGAGCCCAAAGATTCTGTTGCTAAGTGAAAGATTTGTTAACTGTGTTTTGCCCATTTTATGACCTTTCTTGACACAGCTGTTAAGTGAATCACTGAAGTTGTTAAATTAGTAATTCAGTTGTTAAATGAATCCGGCTTCCTCATTGACTTTGCTTGTCAGAAGGTCATAAAAGATGGTCACATGACCCCAGGACATTGCAAATATCATAAATATGAATCAGGTGCCAAACATCTGAATTTTGATCATATGACCATGGGGATGGTGCAACGATTGTTAAGTGTGAAAAACTGTCACAAGTCACTTTTTCAGTATCGTTGTAACTTTGAACGGACACTAAATGAACAGTTGTAAATCGAGGACTACCTGTACTTAAAATGTTTTAATGTAATGGCATTATATCATTAATAAAAAGTTAGGGGTCCTACACATGTCCACAAGAAAGAAGTTCCACAATGAGAGGTGGCATGGTTAGTATACTACCCAAATAAACAAAGCATTCAGAGTTCCTATCACCAACCTAAAACTCAATACTTGAATTGGATTAATGAGCATTCCCAAATCCACAAATGTGCTCCTTCAAAGGGAAAGCAAGCATCAGTGGTAGGTCTGAGTTTTCCAGTCAGGAGCACTTCATCAGTCTTGTATACCTTAAACTTCATTTTATTTACCCATATTTAGCATACATTACAGCAATAAGTCACAAATTTAGAAATTAAGACTCAAAACCAATTTAACAGTGAATCTGAGTGAATAGTGTTTTAGTCTGTTGAAGTGTACTTTCAATAACAAAGGATACAATATTGATCCTTAGAGAGAGAGAGATCCATGACTTGGAGTCTTAGACACCTTTTATGGGATGGTTTTGAAATGAAACAGAAAAACTATAATAAATGAGATGAGGCTAGAAGTTATGTCTTTTGAGATTTCCTCCAACTAAACTAATTTCGTAAATTGAAACAGGATTTATTTAAATCAAACACTTGATGCACATGAGAGACTTTTGAATTTTTCTGTAAAATATAATCTATAGAAATCAAAGGGGCAAATGTAGAATGTGTATTATTTCAACAAGAGAGGTCGATTAACTTATATGTTCTTGCTGCGGATGAGTTGAACTGGCTTGACTTACTTTATTTGTAACATTGGACTCCTATTGTCTCTTGTTGTTCTTAAAAAAAACCTCTCGTATTTCCCAGAGGCTGAAGATCTGTTTCTGTTTTATGACCTGCTGTATCCTTAAGGCCAGGAGGCCCCATAGAGCATTCAGACCCAGTAAAATAAGAGGGTCATTGCCATCATCCAGGTCCTAATTGTTGCTTTCTGATTGCCACATAGACACCAAGGCAGCTGTGGGAACATCTGGGTCCTAGGAGTGGGGGAGGGTGCTGCTGGCATTTTGTTTTACCAGGTGCTCAGAGGAAGCGTCCATCCTCTTTTTTTGATATAGGAGTTAAGTTCTGTGGCCCCTGAAGTGAAATTGCAACAATTGCAGAGGTCATAAGACAGCTGAGTGAGGGTCAGACACCGTGGGGTGTATTTTGTTACTTAGTAAAAGAAGGGATATCCTAAAACCTTTAAAGGGTTTTCTTGAAATCTCTGTTGTGGGAAGGTTTTTATGAGTCTGATGGAAAAAGTGCTGATTTAGGTAAGGAAGACTGCTTTTGTCTAAGTGAAAGGACAACCCTTACCAAATGTTTGCAGCTTTGGTAGTACATTCAGTGAAAGACATGGAGACCAAATTATAGAATGGAAGCCATTCTGTAAGTTGCTTTCCAGACTTAGGCTTTTAAATAGTATTTCACCCACTCTCATAAGATTTGAGCTGTCTTCACTTCAGATTAAGCATTTGTTACTAGGGAAAAAAATGGAGCAGAACTTGCTTGCTTTTTTTGGTCTTAGATGAAATGAGAGTGAATAATCGAAAGCATTTTAGCTTAAGTGAGCTGTTTTTAAGTATATGCTGAAAGGAAGGACTTCAGTTTATTAAGATAACAATGTAGAAAGCCCCTAAATCTTCAGTCCCCAATTGTTTTATTTAAGCTGGAACTCGGAGACAAATATAGAGGGGTCGTGTTTTCAGATTAAAAATACAAGGAAGAATTAAACTTTTGGCACTTGCCCAAAAAATATTGAAATGTACAAACCAATATAGAAATGGTTATTTTTGTCTGAGGCAAATTACTCATTTTTTAATACGCCTGTCTTACATTCAAATAAATGAAGAATGCATATATTATTAGGTACCAACTTTTTCTTTATTTTCTTTAAATAATAAGGTTCCAAATGATCCGTGGATTCTTGTTGTAGCTACAAATTGCAAATATAATATTGGCATATTAGTCAGGCAGTGAGAGGAGGGAGAAAAGGCATTCCTTTTTATGTGTGACAAAGGACATAGAAGAGGCACATATGTATAAGTATAATGCATTTTACTGTAGTTAATTATTACACTAATTTTCAATGGAAACTGAATTGGAAAACAGTAGCACTCAGGAAAGAAGAGAATTGTAAAATTTTAAAATGGAATTTCTAATACTCTATTGAGTATTAAGAAATCTTCTGTTTTTGTTGGATTGTTAAAATCTCTTTGTGAACCATAAATATTAAAAGTTGCTAACATAGTTTAATGTCTGTGGAGATTCTCAGTCATCCAGGTCCTGGTTGTCCTAAACCGGAGTTTCTTGGTTTCCCTTGAAAACATTTTGCTTCTCATCCAAGAAGCTTCAGCTGAAGAAGCTGAAGAAGCTTCTTGGATGAGAAGCAAAAGTCTTCAAAGAAAAACAAGAAACTCCAGTTGCCTCTTGAAAAAGCACCTTTGGGATAACATATTTTTAATGTTTTGTCCTATTTTTGGTCTCAAATATAGGGGAGAGTTAGTTGTGCATTTCTGCTTTTTTTCCTCCTTCCATATTCTTTCCATTATTGTAATTAATTTGTTGGAAAGAAATTGATGAAATTATTCAAGCATGAGAAAGGCATTATTTCCTTTCTGCTGCTGTGGAATATACTGGAATTGGTCAGTGAAAAGTAGCAACTCTGTTGCCATGGCACTGAAACATCATCACCTGTTCCCTTCTTGATCAACTTGTTTTTAAGCGAGAAGAACTGTTCTTTGTTAGAACCAGGAAGGCAGTGTTAGTTCATCGGTAATGACCATGAAACGTTTCCAGAGCCTCAGATTTTACTGAGATACCTGCAGAGAATCCTTGAAAAGTGCAGCCCATAAGTACTCAAAGTTGACTGCAGACGTTGATACACAGTAGAAAAGTGTTTTAAATGGACAGTGTTCAAATGATCAGTATTTGCTAAATTGAAAAGAGCTGTAAAATGTAAATGAGAATCCTAATGGGTTGTCATGGGCTGGAAAGGGAGCTTGAGAGATCCTCCTTCCATCCCTTCCTTTCCTTCCCAGCAGGCAGGTAACTAACTGGCTGCTGCTCAGTTGGGAAATACAGAGAGAATGGGATTGTGAGATTGTTTGGGAAACTGCCACAGATCACTGCCACAGGAGCCTTGGTGATGCAGCGGACTAAAGTGCTGTTAAGTAGCACTTAGCTGCCAGCTGCCTGCAATTACTGCGAGTTCAAATCTCACCAGGCTCAAGGTTGACTCAGCCTTCCATCCTTCCGAGATAGATAAAATGAGGACCCGGACTGTGGGGGCAATAAACTGACTTCGTATAAAAAAGAACACCGCTTGGGGGGGGGGCGAAAGCCCTACTGAGCAGGTATATAGAAAAGTATGAGGGCTATTGCTTAACGCATTGTAAGCCGCCCTGAGTCTCCGGAGAAGGGCAACATATAAATCAAACCAATAAATCATTAAAAATGAAAATTGTCGGACCACAGCAGCAGCCAAATAGCACTGAAGCAGCTACAACTGTCTCAAATTTTCTTTGGGGGTCATGTGTCCCAGATTTTGAAAACATTCTGTAAATTAGTCTGTTTTGACCTTTGTTCAAAAATTGTTGCCCTATGACAAGGGTCGTGGCCCGTGGGCCAGATGTGTCATGCGCTGCCATGCCACCCCCCTCATCCCCCGGTTTAGTGAAGGGGGAAAAAGTCATGATATGTCACGTGACAATAACGTGACGATGCAAGTTTGACACCCTTGCTTTATGATAACAAGAGTTTTAGAAGTACTGTATATAGATTGCATTTACACAAATAATGATTTATTGCGGAAGGTAGAATTACTATAAAATTGTGAATGTTTAGAAGATGGATGATATCAGTTAATCACAAGTAGGGGTTTTAAGTAATTTGAAAGGATTTATATAATCTGGGAAGATGGAGAAGAAATGGAAAAGAAGATATAAACCAGATATATAAGAAATTTCGTTGATTTTCAAAGGACTTACAACATTGGTAATTTTAAGAAAGGCTAATAGTTTTATAAAGCTACTGCAAATTCAAAAACACTGAATTATACAATGAGATTTTATAGCTACTATGTTACTGAAGACATGGGTTAACATTACAAGTACTGAATTAGGGTTGCTATGGTAGTAAGCTAGAAGAATACTAGGAAAATTTGCTTCAGGCTTACAGTTACAGTATGTTGCTGTAATTCACATGCCATTGAATTGCAATGTCAAATGCAATGAATTATATTTAAAGCCATAAGCTTATTGACATTCCAAAGACTTATTTGGACTTAGGTTACTTTCTAAAAACGACATTAATTATGAGAAGAGGTGTGTAATAGATCGTATCTTCAATGCAACTATTTAGAAATGCATAGCAAAGTCTGTCCTTAACTGAACTTAACACACTCTAATGGAAAGTGTTCATGTGCATTCCATTAAGTAAGTAAGCATCTGCTGAAGTTACTTTAACTTGAATCCTGAACATTTTCTGAGCTTTTCTTCAAGATGGTCTTTTTCATGGCATATTGGTTATAACTTTTTCTTCATAGGCACAGGTTTCCTTTTCAATACTATTTTTCTTTTATTAAGGCATTTGACTTTCTCCTGGGCTTTTTCAGACCACCATTGCATTTTTCATCATTTTTCCAGTCATCTGAAGGATTTAACTTTCAACTCCCAAATAGCCATTGGGCTAATCTTAATTCAATGGGTATGTCACTGAGAAAGTTCTGCAGCAGACTTTGGGGTAAAGCTGTAAAAATATAGGAAAGAAATGTTTGTTTTAAGGCTGTTTGTTATGCATAAATTTAATTGAGCTCTATGTGTTGTGTGTGTGTGTGTGTGTGTGTGTGTGTGTTTCTCTTTCTCTCTCTCTCTGTCTCTGTCTCTCTCCCTCCCTCTCGTTCTCTCTCCCTCTACCCCTTCTCTCTCTGTCTCTCTCTCCCTCCCTCCCTCCCTTTCTCTCTCGTTCCCTTTCCTCTCTCTTTCCCCCTCCCTCCCACTCCCCCTATATCTTTCTCTCCCTCCCTCTCTCTCTCTCCCTCCCTCCCTCTCCCCTTTCTCTCCCTCTCTCTTTCCCTCCCTCCCTCTCTCTCTCCCTCTCTCTCTCTCTCTCTCCCTCTCTCTCTCTCCCTCTCCCTCTCTCTCTCAGTAAAGAGATTCTCAGGGTCAGAACAACAGAGAAAATTGTCCAATGGAAGTCCATGGCAAACTGAAGAGATGGGCAGCTAAGAAGTGTGAAGTATAATTAAGTAAATAAAACAAAATTGTAGCCTGGAGTGTATGTACTGTGTGCTGTGTAAGCTGCTGTTACTTCATCTCTTTTCTGAAGGGTTCTCAAGCTCAGGACAGGAACATTTTAAGGGTACAATACTCATTTTTCTCTGATTCTAGAAAGCAGAAATCTGTTTGTGTATATTTTACATTTTAAAGGTTTTAGTTTATTTGGGTTTTTCAGTTTGTTTTTTGTATTGCATGGAAATTTATTTGATGCTAAAATCTATCATTGGGTTTAATATTTACTTCATTTCAGTAATAATTTATTAATGTATTAGAGCAGAGATCTTCAAACTTGGCAGCTTTAAGACTTGTGGACTTCAACTCCCAGAATTCTGGGAGTTGAAGTCCACAAGTCTTAAAGCTGCCAAGTTTGAAGACCTCTGTATTAGAGTTAGAACTCTAGAACAATCCAATAGTAATTTTAGAGCAGGAAATACTCCAAGTATTTTTAAAACCAATGATTTAAGCAAGTTCTCTGTCTCTTAAAATCAGTGTATTTCAGTATCAATTAATTCAGATGTATTTAATTAGTTTGTTTGAGAATTATGTTCAATTTCTTTGATTTATTTCAAAAACTCTACAATATACATGTTAACTAGCAATCTGATGAATTCATGACAACTGGGAATTTATGATAGTCTTCATGACAGCTAGGAAATTAAAGTTGAAACAATAAATTATGTTTTCCCAGGTGGATCTCTGTATGACCTCCATTTCATTGACATTTTGATATTGGTTCAGTTGGAGGATGTAGCCAGTCCAGCCAAAACAAAATTGCTATCACATTTCAATGAAATAGAGTAGAAAGCAAATACTCCCAAAACAGATAATGTTTTTAACTATTTATCCTTGAAGATCACTACATACTGACTTTTATCTGAACATTTCCTGTGCTGCACCTGAAGTCTGTCATGGTCCATTTTAATTGACACTGATGCTTAGGAGAGGTAAAAGGTAAAAGAAAAGGTGGCCGAAAAGAGCTCTATTAGTGAAAAGCAGACTGGCAAAATTAAGAACAAACATTCTTTCGTCAAGATGGTATTTTAATGGTTTCTTTACCATTGCTAATATTTTATCCTTGCAATGTGGACTGTTGCAAAATACTGGTTCAAACATCACTTCTGCTTTCCATAATAAAAGAATGAAACCCTAATTATTTTATTTTATTTTTAATTTTTATTGTTTTAATTTAATTTAATTTAATTTTTATTATTATATTTTATTTTATTTTTATTATTTCATTTTCATTTTATTTTATTTTATTTATTAACAGATCATGGGGAATTCTTATGCAGGGCAACTGAAATCTGCCCGTTTTGAAGAAGCTCTTCATAACTCCATAGAGGCCTCCCTCAGATGTAATAGTGTAGTTCCTCGGCCCATCTTCTCCCAGCTCTACCTTGATCCTGAGCAGCCTATTTTGCCGGAAGGTAACCAAGCAAGTATGGCATATTCTAATTGTTCTTATGCTATATAAAATGTTTATTATTATTTTTTAAAGAAGTTTTTCAGATGTATATTTTTTTAAAGGAATATGTGGTTGACCTTTTTTTTTTTTAAAAAAAATCATGCATTCCAGATGTGAAACCAAAAGTGGAAGAGCTAGACAAAGAATTGATGCATCGTTACACACAGAATGGAAGTTTGGATTTTTCCACCAGCCAGACTATTAATGAAACAGAAGAAGATGAGGAGGATGAAGACATGTCTGATTCCAATAGTCCGCCAATCCCATATGCACAAAAACCTGCCCCAGAAGGATCTTGCACTACTGATGGTTGGTTTAAATCTTCCCTATCTAACATTTCAAAGCAGAATCAGAGGTGTCTGTGGCAGAGCAGTTATCAAATGATGAAAAGAGTTTGCCTCCTTTGTATATGTTATACATTATGATGTCACAGGCATACAGAAAAAGGGCAGCAGTTGCTTTATGATGGTTGTGTTAGTTTCACAGAAGGGTCATACCCTGCAGATACTACTTTGTCCAAAGTTAGAAAGAAATAAATTATGCTAAGGATACATTTGTGATATGAACGTATAACCTTTTTTTTTTTTTTTGGTAACAAAATCTAAAAAAAGTCATAAAAAGACAATATAATATCTACTTCTAATTTGAAGCTAGCCCTATTTGGTTCAATAGAATTTTTGACATGTTATAATATCTAGGGCTCCTTGATGAAATATTTTTATTCAGTTAAAATTGGACTTGCTTGCATGCAAACTAAATGCAAGATTAAAGTCTGAATCTGTTTATAATGTTACTTGAGCAACAAGCAATATTGGAAATAGCTCAAATTCTTATATTCTTAAAAGGTATTGTAAGAAGTGGTCCAGGAGGAATAGTTTATTTAAATCCTATATCATAAATATTAATAATAATTTTAGTTAACATGTTTAATATCCAACATATTGTTCAATCATTGTCCTTTATGAAAATTAATTTTTTCTTCTAAACTATCTTATAAATATCTTCTAATTATCTTCTAAAAATACAGAATAAGTCAGGCAGTATTTTTCTTAACCCAAAAATGAAACATGGGCTGTGTATTTCTTGAATAGTACTATTCTGGTTAACTTTACAATTAAAATTAGAAATTTAGATTATATTTTTAGATACAATTTGGCTTGTCTTTCTGGTGGTACCAGGCAAAAATATTTTTTAACAACTTATATGAAGAAAATGTTTTGTTCAATAAAGAAAGCTGTCCCTTTCCCACTTCCCAAATCTGAAAATTTCCACATAAAGTGCAGTTCAGGTTGTAGAGAGTTCTAAGGTGAAAATACACCAGAAGAGAAATTTATTTACAGAAGCGAGATTCTTGAGAAATACTACGGAGGTTGTTTTAGCCAACAAATATATACTTCTCTTCAGACTAGTTTCATTTTAAACTTCATTCACTTCTATGACCTTTGTGCTTTCCTACCCTTATTTCTCTTGCCAAAAGATTGACAAATTATTTGCACTAGATTAAGATTGCAATATGAAACATGCTTACCTGGAAACAGATTTCACTGAATTTACTGAGACCAAAATAGACATATACTGAATCATACATATAAATCATATCAATTACATTGCTGGGGTCAAGGCTGTATGAAAAATTTAAGTTATTGCTATGGGAATTGTGAAAGCCATGTTAAAACAAGTGATGTACTGAATATGTTCAGCAGAAAACTATTTCGTAAGATTAATATTAATCCTCTCTTGGATCAGAACAGCAAGTATTATGCCTTGTGTTTCCATCCACCCAGCTCATCTACTTTCCCGAAAACATCCTGTGTTTTGTTTGGTTATATTTTGCTCAATTGTAGCTTGTAGGCATAAAAATCCAATATGGCAAGTCCAAAATATACAATTGATTTTCTGGAAAAGACTGCAGTAATGGATCAAATGATTTTTGACTTTAAAACCTGAACTTCATGTAGAGACCATAACATGTGATTTGTCTGGGGTGCTATTGAAGCAGAACTGATCAATTAGGTAGTAGATATGGCCCTACCATATACATTTATATACTTATACATTTATAAGATGTATATTCTGTTTTTATTGTTTTTTTTTAACAATCAAGGATATTATTTATTACTGATGATGTGGTTTGGTTATTAAATGCAACATGAGAGAGAGCCAAACTGAGTTCTGAGTTACTCAGCAACTGTGAAAATGCCAAATGGAAGTGACTGTGAACTGCATTTTTCATGTAAATCTTAGTATGTCATTTCTAATGCAAAATCCTTATCTTAAAGTAGCACAAAAACAGGTCTGTACCTCACAAAAGAGATGGTAATTGTTTCTGTTAAAGAAAGGGGGGATAGAGGGGGACAGAGACAATTTTTGCTTTACACAATTTCAGACCTTTTGTTTATATTTTCACAGCTGAGTTGGCCAAACTCTTTTCTTCTTAGTTGCTTAAAAGATGACTATAGAGTGCAAAGATCAGTATTTCTGGAAAACAGAAATATCTTTTTGGCAATTTATTAGAGGATATGGATATGTTGATTCAATTCTGAAAAGCAGCAAGCTCTTAAACTCCAAATAATGATTGATTGAATGGACACCATTGAAAATGGAGCCTAATGAATTGCTCCAGGGATTTGTATTTTGCATTTCTTTGGAATAAGAATGTAAGGGGTTTTTTTGTTTGTTTGTTTTTACTTTAGAGAAGTAAATTTGCATCCCTTAATTATTTGCTGTTTTTAGCGCATGTTGTAGTCCTTAATTCAAAATGCTAATGTGTCTTTTGTTCAAATCAACACAATTGCAAAGACACTGATTGAGTTCTGGAAAATAATAATGTACTCTCTCTTAACACAATAGCTATTGGCTAATGTTGGCTAAAATAAGCAGTCTGCATTTTTATAGAACTGTTCAATCTTTAATTTCTATAATCTAATGAATGCTGCACCTTTGATATTTCTTAAGTTTCAAAGGATCCAAGGACCCAGCTCTCAATTGTAGTTAACAGAATAATCAAATACAAAGATTGTAAATTAAAGAACAGATAGTGCAGACACTTTGCTCCAGAATCTTTTGGGTTCACACTCTTTAAAGAGAAATTTGTTTAGCTTTCCTTTTTATCTCTATTGCTGATCTAAAATGTTTTTAATAAGAAAGAGTAATTTTAAGGACATTGCAACATATTGCAATGATTTCTGTGACCCAGTATGTTACAGAATTTAAGGACTTCCAATCCCATAGCACTTCCTCCATCCAGTTTTTGCTTAGAAAAGAAATGTTTGTTATACCTTAGCACTATCTAATGCATCCAACAGCAATAATGTATGTGATGCAGCTTAACAATGGTGGGATGAGACCTGAAAGAGGCTGGTGCTAGCTCAGAAATAGCTTACAGAATGTATGATGGTTAAAATTAGTAAGAAAATGTAAATAAGAATATATAAAAAATGTACTTAAAAAAAAATCTAGTGTTTTAGAAGTCACATAAAGAAAATAAAATACTTGTCTTTCCTACAGGAGTTAGCAAATATGGATGGATGGATTTTTTGTTTTACTTTCAGTAAACAATAGATTTTGGCACAGTGAAGTGTTCTTGAAATGAAAACATTAAGATGTTTGAATTTCTCTCGGAGAATTTGTAAAAATGGCTATAGTTCTTTCTCTTATATTCTATTTCTATAGTTAATTAAATCTATTTTGCTCTTTGTAACACCATTTTGTCAGTTAATGCCCCTTCCAGCACTTTTCCAGCTAAAGTTGTGGAATAGTGTTGGTTGTAATTAAGACCACCCTGTTCTTCCTTATCACTTGTGATATTTGCTTTCCTTATCTTCATCTCTATGTGCCTCTGGCCATAGCCATTCTCTCTTATATACCATAGCAGTAATTGCTACTGTTCATTGTTCATGGTAATTGTTACTGCTGAGTGTTTGATCTAAAAAGATGATTACATGCATAAGGAACATTTAAATCATTTGATCACTGGTAAACGATATGCCCCAAATAATGTTGGATGAGCACATTGTAAGCAAAGAAATAGTAAGACATATATGTGTATAAGGCTATGTGACTTTTTAATTATATTTTATATAAACACAATAGCCTCCTGCGCACGTTTCGCCGTGCTCTCAAAACTTTTCTATTTCAGCAAGCTGGCCTGGCCTAACTCCCATCTTTTAAATTTTTAAATTTTTTAATTCGTGATTTTACAAATTGGGTGTTTTAATCTGTGTTTCGGCCGAAATATTTAATAATTTTAAGGGATTTTTTAATATTTGTATTATCTGTATTTTATCTTGGCTGTTCACCGCCCTGAGTCCTTCGGGAGTAGGGCGGTATAGAAATTTGATTAAAAAGAAAAAAAAATGTTATTCAACCAAATATAGCAAAAGCAGATGCTACATAGTTAAAGCTACAAAAAAGTAAGTTCAAGAAAGACATTGTGAGGAACTTGTAAACTGTATTGTACGAACTATAAGACAGTGCAACAGGTTGCCACATGAATCAGTTCTTGACTGGAGGAATTCAAACAGCTAATTTGCACTAGAACTTCCAAACCCTCCCCCAAATGAACCCAGACTGAACATTTGGCTGTTCCCCCTTTGGTGATGTCATTACATCAACAATCATATTTCTTACAGTCCTAGGGTTTCTCCCCCTCCCCCCTTTTGTATGTGTGATCCACAGTGAAGGAAAATTGCTTGCCCCAGCTTTAAATTGAGAAGCAAGTGGCCCTTGCATTTTCAACATTGAAGGAATGAGTGAGAAGTAGTTTTGGAAAAAAGTGTGTCTTCTGAATAATTCCTCTTCACCAAAATACCGTAATTGCAACAGGCACACTGTTTTCCATCTGTAGCAGAAAACAGTGCCATGCAGGGGTGAAATGCTCCCAGTTTGGACCGCCTCGGGTGAATAGGTTATGATGGCGGCAAGCAGTTTGGAGAACTGGTAGCAAAAATCCCTGCCCCCGCCCCCCATGCCCAGCTGAGCCGCGCGATCATCAGAGCCTTTTTTTTCTTTAAAATGGCTCTGACGAGCCAAGCTCTGACCATCCCAGCTGAGATGCCTGCTAATCAGGCAACTCAGCTTTGATCGCCAGAGCCATGTAAAAGAAAAAAAGTCTCCCCCCCCACCCCCAGCTTGCTTACCTTAATTGCTGGTCGCAACGCTGTAATACCTGCAATCCATTGTGTCAGCAAGCAACTGAATCTCCCTGTCTGCAATCAAGCTCATCGGTGAGCAGCTCTATCTACAACTTTAAGACTTGTGGACTTCAACTCCCAGCAAAGCTGGCTGAGGAATTCTGGGAGTTGAAGTCCACAAGTCTTAAAGTTGCCAAGGTTGGAGACCCCTATTCTATTGGGTAAGTTTTTTCCCCTTTGGGAGCTTTAAAAAAAAATAGTTAATTGGGGTTTTTTTTAGTTGTTCTTTTTTTAGACCTAGCCATTTAAAGTTTAGGAAGTTTTAAATTTAGCTGCTTTTATATAAAAATAAAAATAAAATAAAATAATATTTGTGCAGCTTTCTGAGATTTAGTGTGTTTCTGTAGTGTTTCACTCTAACTACACAAACACACAAAATCTCACAAAGCTGTATGTGGAATTTTGTGTGTGTAAAGTGTGAAAGTTGGTTTTTGGGCTTTTTGTGGCTGTGTGAGGTTCCTGCTTGTTGCAGGGGCCATTTTGGGTCTAGCACAGCTGCTTTTACATTGTCAGTGAGCCAGTTATGTTGTGTTGTGTTTGTGTAAAGTGTGAAAGTTGTTTTTTGGGGGCTTTTTGTGGCTGTGTGAGGTTCCTGCTTGTTGCGGGGCCATTTTGGGTTTAGCACAGCTGCTTTTACATTGTGGGTGAGCCAGTTGTGTTGTGTTGTGTTTTGTAGGTTAAAAAAGGGCAAAGAAGTGACATTGACTTGGCTACGCCCACCCAGTCACCTTACCACCAAGCCCTGACCACTAATTAAGCCATGCCCACAGAACCAGTAGCAAAAAAAATTAGATTTCACCCCTGGTGCCATGTATCTTTCTTTGTAGATGAAAATATTGTGCATGGTTGTAGACGTCTATGAGCCTGTGACTCACATTCATTTTTCATTAATCTAATGTTCTCTATTAAAGCAAAGTTGCCATGAGATGCTATAGACTACTGCTAGTTTAATCCAAACAATCTGGAGCAGCTGGGAAAACCTGTTTGGATTTAGGAATTTAGCAGCATCTTCCAGTTGATAAGGCAGTTTACCTGTATTGCATCCAGACATGGCATCCTATTGAAAGTAATGTTGTTTAGGTTGATAGTACACAGCTGTACATTTGATTCACAAAGAGAAAAGGAAGGCATCTTTTCAATTGTTTTTCAGGAGCAGGAAGAAAGAGGAGGCAAAATATGTGCAGCACAACACAGTGCATAAACTCCTAATTTTGTTTCATGAACCTACATTTGTTTTATATATCTAACTAGCTGATAACCCGGCGTTGCCCAGATATTTATAGATGTCGAAGCGTTTGTCTGACAGGAAGCCATTGAGAAGGGCATTTCTTCCCCCTACTCCCATTTCCATCATCCCTGCCCTCTCCCTTACCCCTCCCATGTGCTCCTCTTTCCTGCCCTGTCTACGATCCTGGCACTTTGCCTCAAATCCATCAGGCACTTCCCCATTGGTCCACTGGAGGGTGAACATCATGGCTGACTTTCCAGAAGAAGCTGCAGAGGAACTGACATCACAAACAATTGCCGCTCTAGAATGCCGCACTCGCTTTCCTTAACGGCCCAGGCATTCTAGAGTTACGCTGGAACACACACACACACACACACACAGCCTAGGGGTGTCTTACACCCACAATATTTGATTCCAGATGGTAAATCATCTGTATACCAAATGGTTGAAATTGCTTGAGCCGTTCTTTGCCCATGATAAACTAATGTACCAGGTAGCTGTTTTGTGAAAGGGGAAGGGGTTAGAAATATGAAGCCCAGAGTGACCAGTGTACTTGGAAGTTTTTCTAAATGGTTGTTTCATGATGTATCATTTCTTTTCAGGTTTTTGTCAAGCCGGCAAAGATTTGCGATTAGTATCGCTGCGTATGGAACAGATTGATATCCCACCAGGCTTCCTGTTGGTTGGAGCTAAGTCTCCAAATCTTCCTGAGCATATTCTAGTCTGTGCTGTTGATAAAAGATTTCTGCCAGATGACCATGGAAAAAATGCACTTTTAGGTAAATGAAAATTCATTTATTATTCCTCACAATATGACAGATTTACAGTGAACTGAATTTACAGTATGTTATATTGGCTTGATTCACTTCAAAGCTTTCTCCCTGTAATATTCTAAGATACTTTTTGAAAGCTTTTTCATTAGAGAAAAAATTGTTTGGAATCTTGCACTTTATTAAGTGCAGTCTATTTATTTGTCAGTATTAGCAAACCTTAAGAGCCTCATTATAGAGACAGGGTTGAGATCGAAAGGATTTTTTTTCTTCAAAGGGAAAGTTTATTAAGAAAATTACATACTTTACTAGAATGACTGTCTTTGGCCTTTCTTTTTCGTCAATTCTCTCGGAGGTCCCCAATTTACAACCATTCATTTAGTGACAATTTGAAGTTACAATGACACTGAAAAAAGTGATTTATGACCATTTTTCACACATGAGTGGATCCAATCTGGGTTGGTTACCAGGATCAGAGGTTTAGTCTTTCAAATTTTTGGACTTGTGCTGGAGCCCATCCTCAGGGAACTTTTCACTACCAGAATGTGTGCTTTGACTATTCTATGCATAGTATTTATGTGGTGCCTGGTTGGGTGTGGTTTCTTATTTATTTATTTATTTATTTATTGGCTCAATTTTATATGCCGCCCTTCTCCGGAGACTCAGGGCGGCTTACAATGCATTAAGCAATAGCCTTCATACTTTTGTATATATCTGCTTAGTAGGGCTTTCGCCCCCCCCCCAAGCGGTGTTCTTTTTTATACAAAGTCATTTGCTGTTGTTTCCTTGTGCTGTCAAGTCCTCCCCTCCTAAGTACCTGATAAACTCATGATAAATCAGCACTCCTGTTGACCGAGAAGGATCCCATTTCGCAAACTTCAATAATTTCCCTGGCTATCTTTGTACTTGCTCGGCCAACAATCTTATTAGTAGTGAAATTGAATGTATGTCCTTGTTCATTACAATGTGAGGCTATCAATGAGTTTGGATCTCCTCGTCCGATCACTAACTTGTGTTCTTGTGATCTGATGGTTAGCTTCCTCCCCATTTGTCCTACATACTCACAGGGGAAATCCATACAGGAGATTCGATAGATTACATTAGTAGTAATCTTCCACCTTCACTTATGAGTATTGCAGCATCTCTGTGATCATCTGATTAAAATTGGACGCTTGACAACGGGCATGTTTTTATGACAGTTGCAGTGTCCTAGGGTCATGTGACCACCTTTTGAGAATTTCTGGCAAGCAATGAATGTCAGATTCATTGCATGCAGGGATCTTTTTTTAGCCAAAAAATGGCAAATACACAATAAATATTATTGTGCCACTGCAGTGAATAATTTAACAATTGTGGCAAAGAAAGTTGTAAAATTGGATAAATCAGTTAATGTCTTGCTTAGCAATGGAAATTTTGGGCTCGGTTGTGGTTGTAAATCGAGAACTACCTATATACAGTTGAAGCTTATATAATAGCTTCTTTTGATTTTCATGGCGGGAGATGCTGTTGTAATCCCTGCAATGAACTGGATCATAATTTAGTGTGATCGGTTTAGATGGCCTGGTTGAACATTGTCTGACAGGGCTTGGCTGTAATTATTTTCTCCCTGATTTTGCCCATTTGGAATATGACTAAAGTGATGTTATGGCTTTTTCTGTTAAACCATATATGAGTGCCATAATATGAGATGCATATTAGCTTGTACAAATTTTGTATGGCATTGATTATTTTTTCCAGCCTCCAGATGATGTATTAGATTTCAGCTCTCATAATTTTCAAAAATTGGCCTGTGCTGGTTAGAGTTTATGGGAGATGGAACTCTAATAGATAGATGGAAAGTAGATTTTGGAAGCCTTTAGGAATTAGGAGGTATAACTGCAGCTTTTTTCACCACATTCTATTTCAGCATCCTGGAAATGATGGTATTTCTTCAGGATCAGATCAGAATTATAGCAGTAGCTTAAAGATTACTTTGTAAAATCCTATTTGTGGCAGGAATGCAAGTATATAGGTTAGTCCAAGATCAAAGACAGATAACAGAACAAAGCAAGGACTTTGGAGATTGGCATAAACAATTCAACTGAGACAAGAGCCAGCTGGATTATAGTGTTCAAGTTTGCTCACGTTCACATGGAAATTAATGATTCAGGGAAGAGTGAATTCCTCTCATTTGGAACAATCAGTTTCTAATCCTCTAAATCAGCCCTCTGTTCTAAATAAATTGTATTATAATTCCCAGTTCAACCATGAATAAGCAGACAATCTGAGAACCTGTAAAAACGTAGGTTTTGCAAATACTTTCTGTGGAATATCTGAATTTCTATACTGGGTTACACATAAATTTTTGATAAATATTCTGTTCAACTCTCATTTAATTGCTTTGTAATCCAATGTTCCAATCTCTTTGTTCCTGGTATTAATGTAAAAATTGTGACTTTTTAAAACCCTTTTTAATTTGTGCAATGGATTTTTTTTTTCAAATATGTGTAAAGGAAGGAGTCTTCTTCCTTTGCTTCTTTAGTAATGGGCCCATTTTTAGTTTGTGGCAGATGGTATTTCTCTCAGAAGACTGAACTATTGAGGAAGTTAAATTAATACACTTTGTGTCTTTGAATCAGCCTTGACTTTTGGTAACTGCATGGACACATTCCTCAGATTTTCTTGGCAACATTTGTGGAGTTTTAGAAGCAGATTAACTCAAATTGCATTTAAACAAGAAAAATAGTCTTTAAGCAGAATTAACTTTGAAAATGTGAGATAAATTTTCAAAATATAAATGTGTATTCTTTTTTGTTGTTGTTGTTCAAAAGTTTCTGTTTCTAAATTTATGGACTATAATTTATTCATCTTTTAAGTTCCACATTAAGTTTTTAAATCTAGCGGTGTGACAATATGAGGCTATAAGCAATATTATATTGATAGGCTTCTGCTGATTCCCTCCTCTTCTATTTCCAAACATTTGGAAGAGATTTGATTCTGGAAAAGGGAAGCTACTGCTGGTGAAAGTATGTCCGTTGACAGGTCTTCCATTTTTTTGTTGCTATTGGATGCAACCCATAATTTAAAACAAAAACAAAAACGGACAGTAGCATTGTTTTCCTTTGCCATTGTGACAGCTAAAACAAACAACTAACAAAGATGTTACAGTTGAGAATGTATTTACCCTGTATATCTTTATGCTGAACAAATGGCCTAACCTTGGATTATAATAATTAAGAAAATATATTGACAGCTGTGCAAAGTCCTTTCTGAAATCAGTAGAAAGTCTACAGTAGATCAAACACAATATTTATATCCCTAACTATCTAGGAGAATTCAATTCAAGATGTAATTAGGCCACCTTGCCAAACTGGTTTTTAATTTACTGGTTTATTCTTTACTATATTGCAAAAAATCTTTGCAGTGACAATATGGATTATTTCTTACATCAGGAATTTCTATAGAACTGAAAATATATGTATTTTGCATTCTTATCTCCTGTAGCTCTAAATCATTTATCCATATCAAAAGAAAAAGACTTTGAAAATTCAAGCAAAAAAGTAGTATTAAAAAAATTAAGGAGATATTTCTTTATGGAAAAAATACAGCTTTGGAATTAATTCACTTAGTAGAGAAAGATGTCTTTGTAAAAGGTCTTAAATGTCTTAATTGCTTTTCCTAACAACTATTGTTCTGTAACAGTGTCCACAATTTGGTCTTCTTTGGTATTTTGGAACAGGAATGGGAATGTTTTTTCCTATTTAGATTTCCTATTTACCTCTGGGTAAAATCTATTGGAGCTTTCATTCAGCACTGAATAGTTTATATCCCAAAATAAGTGAGGCTATTATTCAAAATTAGAGATACAAAGTTAGAGATGTTACTTGCCTTTGTTGATGTCAGGTATCTAATGAGGAGAGAAAAGACATTTGCATCCTGGTGTTCTTTTTCTCCAAAGTTTTTCTTCAAAGCTTTCTCAATGACTTTTGTAGTTATGGAAGAATGCAAGATGGAATAATCTAAGATTGTTAAGCTTAATTGGAACGATTGATGATGGTCTGGGAAAGGTTGAAGCCTAACATTTAGACACCTAACAATTTGAATATAACCCACAAATTCAAGCATAGACATCCACAGGGGGTGGGTGATGTGTAACAAAACACTACAAAGTAAATTCTGCCATTAATATTATGCAAAGTTGTAACAAGAACAAAAGGGTGGGACGTCTGTCATGATAGCATGCTACACATTTTGCAGAACAGATGCCTATGGGTACAACAAGGGAAGTTTGAGGATACTTGGAAAATATAGATTTCATTATTCTTCTATGTTCTTTAAACTATCAGTGTGCAGAGGGAAATACGTTAATAAGCCAGGTAGATTCCAAAAAGAGAACATGGATAGAAACAAAATTGTGAAACATCCAAGAAAAACTGTAAACTATCATGCTTTTCTCCAACCCTGCAGGTTTTTCTGGAAATTGTATAGGCTGTGGAGAAAGAGGATTTCGATATTTCACTGAATTTTCAAACCACATTAATTTGAAACTCACCACTCAGCCAAAGAAGCAGAAGCACTTAAAGTACCACCTAATAAGAAATGCTCAAGGTGTGCTGTCAAAGGGACCTCTTATATGTTGGAAAGGTAAGAAATATCTTCTTGGATGTACTTGAGTGCATGTGGGGAACATTAAGAGAATTGAATTTTAGAATGGCTAAATAGTACAATATTTTGGTATGCTTCTTCTTAAAAGAGGGAATTTCCAGATGATATCGTATTGTAAACCTAGTTTTTTAGTTTGTAAGATGTTATATATGATTTTAAGTGTTTCTTATCAGCCACTGAAGGACCTTTTTCCACATTAAAGGACTCCTTCTTCAATCTAGGATTATCCAACTATTTTTAAAGGACATAGAATATATCTTTAAAGCATGTTAATTTTCTTTTGCAAAGTAGTTTACTTCATTTCTTCTTAATCTTACCCTTCTAATAAGGAACATAGGACAATTTTTTGCCTCAAAGCAGCTCATAAAATAATGGTTGAAAGGTAAAAGTTATGCTTATGTCAGTGAAAAAACAAAATATATTCGAATGCTTCTGATTGCTAAGCCTAAGAGAATCATGTATACTAGGGTGTGATTTTTTTCTAATTGGTAGAAGATTGCATAATTGTTCCCCTCCAATTCCCCCCCCCCCACCCCACACCAAATTCAGCTATTTCTATTGTGTAGAGGCTAACTCCCAAAATATAGCTTAATTTTGGAAGTTAGCCGCTATACAATAAAAAAAAATGTTGTGGAACAGGTTGCCTACCTCTGGTCTAATGCAGTCTGTAACAGATCAGTTCATGGTAAATCAAAACTAATATAACAACTGTATGCATGTTTACTTGGAAATAAATTGCCTTAGTGAAATTCCCTTCCAAATAGGTAACTGTAAAAATACAGCATAAGAAATGTGTGACGATACTGGAGATAAAGAAGTTAGCCTATGGCTTAAGCTAATTGAAATATCATGTTCATCAGACACAACATAGGGCAAAACATGGAATTCCAAGAATTCTATGTAGCAGTTGATGATGAGAATATGTGGATATTTATTCCAGAAGTTGCAAAAAATTGTGTTTAACATGATAGTCTTGTCACACATTTTTCCTGAAGAAAGGACATCTTCTTGAAAATAACCCTATAATCTAGTCCTATGGCTGTTTAGACTGTTTTCTATGACAGCAGCTTCTCATTGTCATGGTAATTAATAAAACTTTCCTGTAGGTGTGTTGTGCTTGGTATACCTCCCCCCATCTCTTGTGCAAAGCCTTATATATTATATACCAGTAACTAAGTCTTGTCTAGCGCAGTGTCCTAGAAGTGTTTCTGTAGTCAATAGGAGGAATATACTGATGTTGCAGTTCTATAAGAGCCCTTTGTCCTGATGTTATCATTTCTCCCATGCACAAGAAATGAGAAGAATGGTAATATCAGATATATTTGATTTTAAAATCTCTCTATATGAAGGAGTGCTTTCTTTGAAATTATTCTTGTATTTCCCATAACAAAGTTAGGGTCATGGCTGCTGCATGAATTTTCTAAATGTTTCTAAACTAGAAATAATCTTTAACAAATTCCAAGAATTTTGCTTTTTAATTAACACTCTTGATTGCACAGTAACTGTATTTTGTTTTGTTTTGTTTTGTTTTTTGCATACAATATATGTCCTGCTGCATTATCTCACTGTCAACCTGGCTGCTTAAATATGTACTATAGCTGCTTTACTTGCAGAATGTAGAAGCAGGCACTCTTCTATTGCTAGCCATTCTGCTAAACCTAGTTCTTCAGCATCTCCATCTGTGACTCCTGAGAGTGGAACAGCCAATGGATACAAGCCAGGGTTCACCCAGACAGGTAGGAGCTGAGAGTCCGTTGCATCCTAGGGCTGACGCTTGTGAAGTAGTGATTATGATGCCATCGCAATTCCTCTGTAGCTGTGAAGCCCCCAATCATAAAATTTCTGGTTGCTTTAATCTAGGTGGGAGTGCTATGTCTGAAATTATTATATAATAAAAGGTTTTATGTTATAACTTATTCTGTGGTCTGTGTCAAGAAAGAACATAGTAGTTGCCAATGATCAAAGGATACTTTATCTTAGTATGATCAAGCTTCGCTCTATATCTGTGATGGCGAACCTATGGCACACATGCCAGAAGTGGCATGCAGTGCCCTCTCTGATGGCAAGTGAGCCATCACCCCAGTTCAGCTCTGCTGGGCATGTGCGCGTGCCTCCCGCCAGCCAGCTAGTCTTCAGGTCTGCATGGGGGACGGGGCACATGCGCAGGGGCCGTGCACACATTGCATTTTTGGGGTTTGGGCACACGCGCACACATTCCTGTTCACACACGTGTGCCTTGGACATTTGGTCCGGAAAAGATTAGCCATCACTGCTCTATATATTTGCAAAGACTTCCTACTGAAGTACAGTAAAAACTCTCTTCCCTCAGGATTTTATGACAGGTTATCTCTTCCTATTGCTTATAGGTTAGTGGGAGGTTTGAGTGGAGGTTCATCATTCATTAATACAGGCTCCTTGCATATTTTGGAATCCTATGTGGAGACTTTAAATATATAGAGCAGATATCTCTCTTCGGGCCTTTGCTCTACAGTGTGGACATAGGACTGAAATAAAATTTTGCAAGGGTAGAATTCCTCAAGTACTAAAGCTGCAGAACAGCAACTTTAGATGGAGGATAATTCTGTATTTAGTGTGATCTGTCCTCAGACCATTGGGAAGATTCCCCCCCCCCCCCCGTTTAAGTATTCCACTATTTTTATAAAATCAAGAGTAAAATCTCAATACACAACTATTTTTCATTTGTTGTTGCTTGATAAATATATATGTTAATTGGAATTGGAATTAAAATTTGAAAGGATGTTACAACCAACTAAATTAATCTTTAACTGTGATTTAGAGAATGAAAATATTTCCAGGGGCGGTTTTAAAGTATTTTCTTCCAGCCTCATTCGCAGAATTTTCAGTGATTCTTTGAAATCTCTGGTGTATTTCCTCAAATTCTTTCATCATTTTCTTATCACAGAGGGGAAAACAACTACAAGGAAATTTGTTTCCAATGGTGGATTGACGAGTTATATCTGATCACCATGCTATTATATATGCAATATATTCTTTCTCTCTGACTTCTCCATTTCTGGGCAGTGGATTAATGCTCCGGGTAGGGCAGTACTTTCTATTCAACCCCTGTCATGGACCGACCATTCCCTCCTTAAGCTAGACTTTCTATCCGCCAACCCTCACCGCTGGGAGGCGTAACTGACTCATTGGTTCTGCCCCAGGCGCCTGATGGACTCTGATAGGTTCCTGATGGAGCTTGGGACTTTTCCCACATACCTATCCCGCGATTCGCCAGAGACCCTGGTGGACGCCTGGGAACCGGCTGCTGCCGGGGCACTGGATTGAATTGCCCCTTTGCGGCCTTTCCTCCGACAGGGATCCCGGGTAGCTCCATGGTTTTCCGTGGAGCTTAGGGAGATGAAGCGTCAGAAGAGATGCCTAGAGGGCTGTTGGAGATCTTCCCATTCTGCATCTGATCGAACACAGTTAAGAACCTATATTAGGTCTTATCTTGTGGCAATGGAAGCAGCGAAACGTGATTATTTCGCCGCTCTCATTGCATCTGCAGAAAATCGCCCAGCAGCCTTGTTCTGAGTGACCCACTCTTTTCTTAATCAGGGAGCGAGGGAGGACCTCTTGCAGGGCAGTGCTGAGGATTTTGTTCAATTTCTACAAGACAAAATCGCTCAGATCCGGATGGGTTTAGACTCTAATTGGGCAAGGTCTGATGAGGAGATGGGAGCAAGTCTTGAAGGCAACATCTGGGTTGACTTTGACCCTGTATCCATAGATGAAGTGGACAGGATTGTTGGAAGATTGGGGGCCTCAACGTGTTTATTGGACCCGTGTCCTCCTGACTTGTTGCAGCAACCAAAGAGGTGACTGGAGACTGGATCCAGGCAATTGTTAATGCTTTGTTGAGGGATGGGGTCTTGAGGTGGTGGTTTGACCCCTTCTCAAGAAGCCTGCCCTGGATCCGGCCTCCTTGAACAACTTTTGTCCCGTCTCCAACCTTCGCTTTATAGCGAAGGTTGTTGAGTCTGTGGTGGCATACCAACTTCCACAATTCCTGGAGGAAACAGATTATCTAGACCCGTACCAATCGGGTTTCAGGCGCGGACACAGCATGGAAACGGCATTGGTCGCCCTGGTGAATTCTGTGGCGGGCCAGGGATAGGGGTTATTCCTCTATCCTGGTCCTACTTGACCTCTCAACGGCTTTTGATACCATCGACCATGGTATCCTACTGCGACGACTCGGGGGGTTGGGGGTGGGGGGCACTGTTTTACAGTGGTTCTCCTCCTACCTCTCAGGTCGCACACAATTTGTCTGGGCAGTGGGACAGAGATCCTCCCCAAGGCCCCTCATTTGTGGGGTGCCTCAGGGATCGGTTCTCTCCCCCTTGCTCTTTAACGTCTATATGAAGCTGCTGGGTGAGATCATTCATAGTTTCGGGGTGAGGTATCAGCAATATGCTGATGATATCCAGCTTTACATCTCTACCCCGGACCAACCCAGGGATGCCCTTTCCATGATGTCTAAGTGTCTGGAGGCGGTACGGGTCTGGATGGGTAGGAACAGGCTCAAACTCAATCCCTCCAAGACGGAGTGGCTGTGGATACTGGCATCCCCTGATCTAGCGACCTCATCACTCTTGATGGGAGGGGAGTTGCTTACTCCCTCTGAAAGCGCTCGCAATCTTGGCGTCCAATTCGCGGTTGTCCTTAGCTGACCATCTGACGGCCATGACCAGGGGGGCTTTTGCGCAGGTTCGCCTGGTGCGCCAGTCGTGACCTTTCTTAGATAGGGATGCCCTCCGCACAGTCATGCTCTAGTTATCTCTTGGCTGGACTACTGCAATGCCCTCTACATGGGGCTGCCCTTGTGGTGCACCCGGAGGCTCCAACTGGTCCAGAATGCGGCCATGCGGGTTGTTACAGGAGCTTCCCGTTACTCCTGTGTTACACCTCTCCTGCGCGAGCTGCACTGGTTGCCGGTGGTCCTTCGGATCCGCTTCAAGGTTCTGGTACTTACCTATAAAGCCCTTCATGGCATGGGCCCGGGGTACTTGCAGGACCACCTCCCACCGGCCTCCCACCGCCCAGTGCAATCACATAGGACTGCCCTCCTCCGGGTGCCATCGGTCAGACAATGTCGCCTGTTGGCGCCCAGGATGAGGGCGTTCTCTGTGGCTTCACCGACCCTCTGGAACGAGTTACCCACTGGGCTCCGGACGGCCCCCGACCTCCGCTCTTTCCGTGGTGACCTGAAAACGTAGCTTTTTCAACAAATCTCCTGATCTGCTGGAAGTTTTAGTTTTAACTGTTCGGGGATTTTAATTGGATTATTTTAGTATTCATTTTATTGTCTTGTTGTTTTATTGTTGTGAGCCGCCCCGAGTCCTTCGGGAGAAGGGTGGCATATAAGTACGATAAAATAAATAAATAAAATAAATTTCTCCCGGGAGAGATAATTTCTGCCTATCTTAATTATGCTTAAGTGTTTAGTTGGTATTAGGATTAATAAGGATTAAAAATAGATTTGCCCTGAATCACAATTATAAATTTAATGGAATAACTATATTTAAACACAATATATGCAAGTGTATAGATGAGTAGTTATCATTTTAACACTACTGTATTTGTATACCAATATAAAGTGGCCACTGTGGCAATATCCATACCTACTGACAGATTTTTGCAGTAGAAATATATCCTCATTATTAAAGTAGATTAATATTAATTACCAATACTTTATCCATACTTTTTAATAATGTTAAGAACTAGAAAATACATAGCACAAGTGCTTAGCACTGTCTACTAGATTATCTGAGGTTAATTGTGGTTTGAAAGTATAGGAATCATATATTGTGTGTTATTGAACTTCTTAACCAGTTTTAGAATATTTCAGCACAAATGAAAAGAATGTTTAGAATGCTATTTTGTGAAAACTTTGACTTCTATAATAATGAAATGAATAATGTGTAATAATATGTAAACTAAGTAGTTTGGCTATTTCTGCCAAGTTGGTAAATCTATCTTCGATACTCCCCTTTTCCTTATCAGTTGATCATGGTTTTATTTACTTGGTACCTTCTGTATATGTGTTTTTTGGTCAGGGCAGAGTTGCTAAATCCTTTTTACCCCCTCCTAGAAGTGTACTCTTTCAATGAAAAAACAGTCACATTATCCTTGGCAATTCATTTAAATTACACCAGCAAGGTTGTGTGGGTGAAAAGAGGTGCTTTTTGTTTCAAAAAATGTTATGGGAGTAACTCGGGGCAGAGATTTTTTTAAAAATATGTCCTTGATTATTGATCCACATACTCCTAGACACAAATCGATGAGAAAGCTACAAGTTAAGTAAAGAGCACTAAAAGTTCTGAATAACATTATAAGAACCATAAATAAATAATAGAGCAGTGTTTGGAATAGCCTTTCTCAGTGTGATGCCCAGAAGTATTGTCCCCAGGTAATGATGGGAGATACCATCCAAGCATACCAGAAAATCAACAGGTTAAAGAAGGCTAGCTGACAAAGATAGTACAAGGTAGTGCAGTCTCCTTCACAAACTCTGATTACTCAAGTTCACTGACCACAGGAACAATATTTTTAAATGAACGGGTTATTATGGCATAACCTTCCAGGGATTAGAGCAGTGGAAAATATTTCAGATTTTATTTACTAGAACAGTAAGATATACAACCTAGAATTTGGCATAACATGGCATTTAAATTTAAGGAATTTATTTTGGGTGCCAGTACCAAATATAAGCTGC